GTCTGTAGTCCCAGCTGCTTGGGAGGCTGAGGCAGGAGAATCGCTTGAACCTGGGAGGCAGAGGTTGCAGTGAGCTGAGATCACAACACTGCACTGGGCGTCCCCCGCGGGTGCCGGTCCAGGCTGCCCGGGAGTCCGGAGCCCAGAGAGGAGAGAGACAGCCAGGGCTGGGGAGCCTGGTCACCGCGGGCACCTCCCTTGCGCTGCAGTCGCCAGCCTGGCCCGCCTTCCCGCTCCTCCGCCTCTTTCCCTGACTTCTCTTTCCTTTGCAGAACCGCCGTCTAGCGCCCCGACCTCACCACCATGAGAGCCCTGCTGGCACACCTGCTTCTCTGCGTCCTGGTCGTGAGCGACTCCAAAGTGAGTGCTCCCTTGCTTTGACCGATGCCGCCCGAGGACCTCTGATCAGCACCAGGGGAGAGGAGGGGGCTGCTCAGGGAGCGGGGGTCCTTCGGCTTCCATCCATAGCAGGGCCAGGCTCTCCCCAGGAAATGGGACAGGGTGGCAGCGGAGGCTTGAGAACCACGGGGGTTGGCACTGACCAGCAAGGGAGGAAGAAGCCGCCGGGACTGCCCCAGCCTGCGGGCATCTGGTAGATGAAGCTTGCTTGGGTCAATCCATTTCTCCTTGCTGGAAACCCATGGTCTTCCATGTGAGAACTAGATATGAACAGGGTGAGGCGAGAGGGAAGGAAGAGTGGGTTTTGGGACTGGGTCCAGTTTACCCTCACCCTGGAGTCCCTGGAGCATGGGACCTTTGATGAAGCCTCCTCCCGAATCTCTTCCAGGGCAGCCGTGAACTTCAAGTTCCATGTGAGTATCCACCCCTACAACAATTGGCTGTACAGACATCCTGGGAAAGCTTCTGGGGACATCCCCTCCCTACCCCTGCTGCAGGGCTGCCCCAGCCCTTAGGGCTTCCACTCCCCCTGGCTTACCCTACCTTTGTTCTCTCCAGCAGACTGTGGCTGTCTAAATGGAGGAACATGTATGTCCAATAAGTACTTCTCCAGCATTCACTGGTGCAACTGCCCAAAGAAATTCGGAGGGCAGCACTGTGAGATAGGTATGGGGATCTCCACTGCAACTGGGAGTTAGGGGGCACCAAAAATTTGGGGACAGGGAGGGATGGGTGGGAGGCAAGAGCAGGCAGGAGTTAGGAGCTGGAGGTGGGGTGGGTGACATCTTCATCCCTATGTGGCAAGCATAAACACACACACTCCTGTGAAGCAATGGCCACACAAATGTGAGGTGCGGTTGGAAGGAGAACCTGTTCAGTCTTCTGGCAGGTCTGAAACCACATCATCTTTAAAATGTCCGTTGGCAGCTGGGCGTGGTGGCTCACGCTTGTAATCCCAGCATTTTGGGAGGCAAGGTGAGTGGATCATTTGAGGTCACGAGTTCAAGACCAGCCTGGCCAACATGGTGTAACCCTGCCTCTACTAAAAATACAAAAATCAGCCTGGCATGGTGGTGGATGTCTGTAGTCCCAGCTGCTTGGGAGGCTGAGGCAGGAGAATCGCTTGAACCCAGGAGGCGGAGGTTGCAGTGAGCTGAGATGGCGCCATTGCACTCCAGCCTGGTTTTCTGGGGGGGGCCCCCCCCCAAAAAAAAAAAAAAAAGAAGAAGAGCACATGGATAAAGAGTTGGAGGCGTAGGGGGGAGGAGGGGGTGGGTAGTGAGGGGGAAGGGTGTCAGGCTTCATAACGGTCTCCAAACCTCTTTGTGCAGGAGGAAATGAAGTCATCCGCTCTCAACAATCAGCATGACAGCCTCCAGCCAAGTAATCCGGAGTCATGAGAGCTGCTAGGGGAGCAGCATGAATCATGACGGCCTCTGGGAATTTCCTGATAACTAACCTAGGAGTTTCGGGGTAAGTCCTCAGGCTGCAACATCTCTGTTTACATTCTGGTCACGTTTATTTACAATTAATGGGTTCTCAAATCCAAACAAAACTGACCACAGTCTTCTAGAGGAAGTAGCAAGGTTGGCTCTGAGACCTATAGCATCTCTGACTCAGTGTGTCCCCTGGAAGGCTGGCAGTTCAGCAAGCACAGAAGTCTCTCCAGAAGACAGTGGGTCACCTGCCTCCCAAAAGCTGAAAGGCTAACTTGTACTTTCCCCAGCTAGCAGCTGGCATCCTGAGCCCTCAGCCGCAGCAGAGCAAAGGAGCCTTCCTCCTTCCTACCCTTCTGGCACTCTCCCTGCCTGCCTTCTGTCATTCTTAAGTGGACCCAGACCTAAGGTCCAGATTTGCAAGGCAGGAAAATGCTGCAGGCCTAGGCTGGGAAAGGGACCAAAGCTTGAGCCCCTAGTGGATTGCTGGGACTCAGCCTCCTCCCTCCCACTAAGAGAGCAAGTCCTACTGGGTTCAAAATGACCCCAAGCCCTGGTTCCTGACACTAGGGGAAAGAGATGGGGGTGACAGAATCACAGAATCCCTACTATACTCCTCCAAGTGTGCCCAAAGATGCGTGTGTGTGTGTATACACAAATGTCTGCTTATCCTTAGGCAGGAGGGGTGCATGCAGTCATTTACACATGGCCTGTTTTTCTGGAGGACAATTTTATTTGATAAACAATTGTTTCTATCCAAATAGAATAAACAAGGCTCTATGATGAAGTAAAACACTAAATACACATGCATTTAAAAATGTGTAATTATCTTTGGAATGGGCTATACAGGGATGTGTTTTTTAAAACGTAAAGAGTGTAAAAGGACATACAGTGAAAAATAAATCTTCCTCTTATTTTGTCCTCCAGTCTTCCAGTTCCTCTACTCAGAGGTGAGAACAGAACTTCCACACCCTCCAGAACCTCCACAGTTAACTGTCTACATGTTTCCATTGTCTTTACTTTTATTCTTGCCCGCACAAATAAATGAACTGTTCATTATGAAAACTTCCCAAAAGACCCATTAACACTTCAATAGGAAGCACCAACAGTTTATGCCGTAGGACTTTGTTCCCACAATCCTGTAACATCATATCAGGACACCTAATCCAATCCTTATCAAGCCCTGTCAAAAACGGACTTTAAATCAAACTGCAAATTTTCAGTAATCTGGTCTTGCCTTTCCTCCTCTCTGATAGCACCATCAAACTCCCTTACTGCCGAAAGCAGTAAGTCGGGCTTTGTTCCATCCACTGGTTGTGTTGGTGATATCTAGGGACTGCCACTGAACAGAGAGGCACAGAGGGAGCCCCTGCGGGCAGGGGTTTTTGTCTCTGAGTTTCTGGGAGAGGGTGCCTCCTACATCTGTCGCGTTGATGAAGACTTCACAGCTCCATCAGCTGCGGGCAAGGGGGTCTGAGGCCCTCTTAGGCAAGTTGGGGCCCAGCAGGGAGAGGTTGGAGAAGAACTGATTAGGGGACCCCAGGAGGCTTCAGAGCTGGGCGAGGTAGAGAGTCTCCCGTGCGCCTTCTCTCCTCTCTGCAATTCGGGGACTTCGTGCACTGGGGCAGGCCCCGGGCCAGGTTCATGGGAGGAAGCACGGAGAATTTACAAGCCTCTCAATTCCTCAGTACAGACGCTGTTGGGTCCCCTCCGCTGGAGATCGCGCTGCCCCCAAATCTTTGTGAGCGTTGCGGAAGCACGCGGGGTCCGGGTCGCTGAGCGCTGCAGGGCAGGGGAGGGAGCTGG